AAAGGAACTAACATTTATTATTACATATATTTATTTAATAACAAATGGAACAAATTCACTGTCAAAATTATACAAAAATGCAACATTATAGAAATATAGACAAAATTACAGATACAATAAAATATACATGAATAAAATAAATAAGTACACATTTATAATAAATTTCATTTAGCATTTAAGTGCTTCAAATAGTACCTAAAGCTATTGATATGAAAGTTTTAGACCATCTCTATGTGTGAAACATAATTAGTTCTGTGGTAAGGAACATGGAAATTTAAATTCTGACACAGTGAATGGGAAGGAATATGAAAACAAACTAGCTGAAGCAATTCAGTAGATTGGTTATTTTATAAACAAGTTGAAAAATAAAGATTAAAAGGTAACACTTTTGATAAGAGAATCCAGATTCAAGAAATTGATCATATCATAATAAAAATATGGTCTACATAATTTACAAGAACAGTTGATGCTTGTAGATGAGTCAGTATAAATCTAATCAACATAAAAATGGTTTTTAATGCAATTATAACATAATCAGTGTAAATTAGTTGAAGTTGAACGACTAGACAATAAGTAAACCACACTGACCAGTATGAAGCTGATTCTTCAAATTTACTGTCAAAAAATCAGTCAGTAAAGCCTCGACAATTTTAGGAATAGCAGAAAGAATTATAATGGAACGATAATTAGGAATCAATGAGTCAAGGATAAAATCAATAAATAAATTGTGATGAAAAGTGACCCTCAGTCAGAGATTTATAAAAAATAAGCCATAGATGCCTACATAAAAAGAATGCACAATTCCCTAAAAATAAGTTAAGATATTATGTCTGGACCAAGACCTTTATTGGTATTAAGACACTGTAAGCAGGCGTCACAAATTTTAATAGTTAAAAGAGTGAATATGGCTGTGACTGATATGGGATCTTTGACTACACTTGTCTACACAAGAGAAAGAAGGATTGTGAATACTGCTAAAGAAATTGACAAAATTGTTGAAATTGTGGTTCTTAAAAACAGAACCATTCAACTTCTCTTATCCCTTCCAATTCTGATTTCCCTTACAATTGTGTGGTCAGCAATTAAAAGCAGACAAGTCAATTGTTGAGTTTTAAAGTTGAAATCATAAGTATGAAAAAGATCAATACCTAATATGGAACTTTTTCTGTTTTCTTTCAACAGTAGATTAATTTTTAGGTATTTATTTTAAATATACAAAACAGTCTCAAAAATTGGACTGTTCCTTTGTGTCCATGAACTACACAATTTAATCATTACAAAATTAATCATATTTGCTAATGCAACATGCAAGTTAAATTTTATCTGCCCTCTCTTTAAATATTTCCTCAGATATTTCATTATCAAGTTTCAACTTCCTTCCCCATGGCAACGCTGGTTTTGGAGTTTTTCCAAGCAACATCTGAAAACAAAATTAATGTACATTCATAAATTGAACAAACTAATTTCAGATTTAGTTCATTATACTTTGCTTCTTGTGAATAAATCATAATTCAAAGTAAAATTAAACACACGAATTTCAAGTGCTGTAGTTTTAATGAATCTCACCTGAATTAGAAGAATACTAACTCATCCATTGGTATTTATTTCTAATGACCAAATGAGCAGTAATTACACTTTTATACGTAAAAAATAAAAATAACTGTATAAATAAAATATATGGCCAACAACAAACCTTTATCTCATAAGCTAGCTGTAGTTCTTAAAGCAATCTCATAGCCAGACCTGAACATTTATGAGTTGGTAAAATTTGCCATCTAAATTACATATAAGACACAGTTAACAATATGCTTAATCAGCTGTATGTGGCCACTTAAGTGATAGTGTAAATTCTTAAATGTACCTTAAATTGATTTATGTTTATAAGTTACAAACCTTTTAAATCAGAGCTATATGTGTGTCCTCAAAAACTTTATATTGCTTTTTCCCTAGCCAACTATCTTTTGCTTGAATTTTATTCAAGATCAGCTTCTTATGGCTTCTCCTAACAAATTCATTTATGGTCTCCTCACCAATTTTGGAAAGCTCATTATCCTAAAATATAAATCAACATGTAACAGTAATCTAACTACCCCACAAACTTGATCATCCATGCTTAATTATTTTAGCTTAAACTATCTAATAAAAAAACAGCCCCTGTTACAAAATCAATCAAACATTCATTTGCAAATTTTGGTTTCTCATAACCATGGTAAATGCCTATTAAATCTACATTTTTAGGATATATAAACAAGATAGGATATGATTGACTACTAAAACTCTTTTTTAGTGGGATTCCATCAAAATGTACACAAATTTCTATAACATTGTTTTTTTGTGAAGATAAAAATACCATTGAAATTTGAATCATATGGATCAGAGTATTTGTTCTCTGGGTGAAGCGAAGCAAGAAGGGTTCTAGCATTTGAACTCAAATGAGAAAGGTCAGGAACTTCTTTAGGAATTTTTAATAAATCACCTACATAAGGGATTGGACAAACCTCGATGCCCATGCACTTTTTAGAGCCACACAAGATCGAGAGGAGTATGCCATAATTGTTGTTAACATCCACTAATTGGATAGGGCACCATAAGAAGAATAAATCACCTAGTATTAAAGGACAAAGTCCAGTTGAATAACTTATTAGAAAAATTAAAAACATCTCGATAAGGTTCTCCAGAATTCTTCTTACAACCATGTTTAGACATTTCTTCAGTTTCATTGAAAGAAGAGATTTGTAAAGGATCACCAGAATGGTCGTCCACGTGGTAATTTGCATTATTTTAGGTACTTAACATGTTAATAAAAAGTTTAAATCGGAAGTATTGTAACCCTGAACTATTTGAACTGAATGATCAGTCAGGGATTCCGAATAAAAGTTTGAAGGAGATGGAATATCGAGGTTATTAATATTTTCAACAATATTCTCTACGTTTTTCGTAAACCTTCCTCTGTTGATGACGCTTAGGAACAAATCGTTTTCTTTTAAACATAATTAATAAGTAAAAATTACACTTACCTTTAAAATAAAACCAATTTCTGAAGTATAACCTAACACGTGGTACCAAACCTTTAACAATATACTATAACCACAACACAAAGCCAAGCATCAAAAAACCAATGCACTGTATACTGCTTAAATAGAATTCTTTTATTTCATTTATTAAATCATTAATAATATAAATATAATTAAACTGTGCCATTTGTTTAAATAGGTATGATATGACAGACAATGACATTATCATCCATCATTATTTTGTTCAGCCAGAGTCACGCCAGAGTATATACTACCACTTGTTCATCTTTGAAAAATGATTTCAAGATTCATCTTGTTGATACAAATCATATTTTTACTTATTAGAATTAGCAAACATATATCATCGTGATAACTAGAATAATAAATCAATTGTAATGAATTATCTAGAAATCAAATATTTTTACACTTTACCTTAAAAAAAACATGTTTTGGATATATTAAACTATACAATTTTTAATTAATCATGATTTAACATTTTCGCTTTTAATTATTTTATTAACGTAAATAATTTTTTATTTTATTAAAATATTTGCTATTTGATCCCATAATTGGTAAATGTCAGATGTCCAGAAAACGTCCGAATTCGGACGTCCATGGAACGTCCGAGTATGGACGTCCATGGAACGTCCGAGTACGGACGTCCAGAGAACGTCCATATTTAGTCCACCCAAAGTACGTCCCACTTCGTACGTCCATAGTACGTCCATTTTACGTCCAGGGACGTCCGGACCAAAACTGGACGTATAATGGACGTCCATAGGACGTCGTGTGTTACTAGGGTACTTAAAATTAAGCGGCGTATTTGGTCTTACATTACAAACTTCTCTTACCATAACTTCTATGTGGTCAAGAGAGACAGGTAGTGGTTGTCGACTCCTGAGTTGACGATCAATAATATCTCACAAATTTTGTATTCCAACTTCGTCCAAATATTCACGGACCACACTTGCAACATGTGGTCGAGCGTTATCATGCATTAAAAGAAAATTATTTCCTATATAAGAAGCAAATGAAACTACATGGTTAGACAAAATGTCTGTAATATAACTTTCACTTGTTAAGGAACCTCTTCTTAAAGCAACAAGTTCCGTTCGCGCTGTAAGAGATATTCCTCCCCAAACCATTACAGATCCTCCATTGAATAAAGTAATAGGTTAATGCACTGTGCGTAGCGTTCTTTTGGCCGTCGAATATCTCTCATATGTCTATCTGAGGTAGGTATATAAGCTTTTTCGAAATATTAATAAGACGTTTGATTTTAATAAACTCCACAGAGTATTGCAAAATAAGACGAAAAATCAAATTTATTTTTACACCCCGTATCTGGGTAAAACATTGACATTTCCCAGAAAACAATAATACAGTAATTACTTAGAAATAAATCTGCAGTGAGAAAAAAAAACATCGAAATCCAATTAAGGATTCAACAGAAAAACAGTTTAAAATTATGGTAGAGTTGAGGTAGTGCGTTAATTTTGGAGAGGAGAAAATCACGCAATACTTTAAACATACTTATCTTTTTTGATATTAAAGATATCGATATGATTTTTTTACGAAAATGTGAACAAAGAATGAGGCAATCTCAAAATATTAATAACATGTAGCGTTTGTTTCTAATACAGAGTACAGGGTGTTGCAATATTAGATGAAAAAACACAACTTTATTTTTACACCTTGTATATAGGTATAACGTTGACATTTCTCAAAAAACATTATCATAGTAATTAATTAGGAATATACCTATAATGTGAAAAATAAATCATCAAAATCCAATTGAGGGTTCAAAAGAAATATAGTTTCAAAATCATGGTCCATTTTAGGTGGTGCGTTAATTATGTGACTTCGGTTAAGTGTCTCGAATAGCGGTAGACAAAATTTAACACCAATAAAAAACTACTTAAGATTGAGTATTACTCATCTCCTATACATCAGTCATTCAAATTACTTAATTAATTTATTTTTTAGGATGGATACGGCGCCACTGAAGCGCTAGCAATTTCATGGCCTCTTAGAAATGAACAGATTGATTTTACCTCCAGGTGCGTTGGACATCTTATGGACCATTTAGAAGCTAAGGTCGTCGATCCAGAGGGAAGAATAGTGCCTTTAGGAACGGTTGGAGAACTCTACGTCAGGGGGTATTCCGTTGTAAAAAGTTACCTGGACGGCGAATCGGACGTTTTTGATAAGGACGGATGGTATAAAACCGGGTAAGACTATGAAATAAGATTTCAGTAATAGTTCTTCTGCTTAGGTCTCAATCTGATGATGAAGGTATCTACTTTCTATAATTTTTTTTAATATCAGTTGAGATTAACTCACACATCATCATCTTTGGCTGTACAACCCTGGGTGAGTCTTGGGCTGTTCAAGAATTAGTCTCCATTCCCAAATTAATTCCCAAATTCCCAAAAATTAAAGTCTGAACGAGACTAAACAAGACATGAAATGAATTTAAAAGCTAAATGAAGTACAGCTAATATCTAAGATCTAAAAAATTCTTCGACTGTATAAAACACTTTTTCACATAAACATTGCCTAAGATTCCTCTAAAATATTATGGAACTGGTGGAATTTACAACTGTGGCCAAATGATTAAACGATATACCTGTAGCCCGTATACCCTGGACGATTTAAAAATGTTGCCTTTTGAAAATGGTATATAAAATTTATTACAATATCTAGTATTTAAATTATGCATATCACCACTCGTTTTAAAACTGATTTAAGTTATTAAAAATAAACACACTTAATTCAAAAATGTATAGACACGCCAATGTTAAAATTTAAATTTTTTTAAAAATATTATCTACAACTAGTTAGTCGGGAGACACCAGCGACAAAACGCAATATTTTCTTTTGTATGACGAAAATACCATTTGCATAACCAGACATACCCCAAAAACATATCTCGTATCTTAGGACTCCACGAGTGCATAATATATCATGATTAGCTAATTTTCCGTCAATATTTTAAATTCTAATTAGTTAGTTAATTGAATTCAACTTCAAAACAACCGATCCACAATGCAACTTCCACTCAAAACTTTCGTCAATCGTTATTCCTAAAAACTTGCCTGACGAAACCGTAGCTATTTGCATGTTGTTAAAAATAAACTAAAGATTTTCCAGGTATTTTTGGTTAAGTGAAAATGTATAACTTGCGTTTTTTCTGCATTAAGATGCAACGAGTTATCGCAAAACCAAGAATATAAAGATGAAAGAAAATCATTACATTGATGTAGAATTACGTTGGATTTGTTAGATAGAATAATTGACGTATCATCCGCATATATAGTAAAGTTTACCGCTTTGTCCACTTGTACAATGTCGTGAATGTAGACTACAAAGCGAATTGGTCCTTTTATAGATCCTTGGAGAACCCCCATGTTTGTATTAACAAGACTAGATCTACAACTACACAATCCTCGAACCTCACCTACAGGCTCACATATTGTTGTCTATTGTTAATAAATGACATAATCGACTGTAAAGAATTTCCTGTAATACCTTTTTGTTTTAGTATTTTAAATAATATTTCATGGTTGATACAGTCAAATGCCCTAATAAGATCACAAAATATTCCAATAGGACATTCGCCTGCATCAATCAAACTGGTTAAATGAGCATAAAATGCATGGACTGCCGTATTAGTAGATTTATTTTCTTGAAATCCATAATGTTTTATTGTTATATTATTCTTTAGATAATTATTTAATCTCTTTAAATATCCATACTCAAATACCTTTGAAAATATACTGGGAATTGTTATAGGCCTATAATTGCTCACGAGTTTTGGATCTCCTTTTTTAAAAAATAGGAACTACTTTGCCTGTCTTTTAGTAATTAGAAAAATCCCCATTGTAAAAAGACAAATTGGTGAGATAAGTTAAAGGATTGAATATAAAAAGTAAAACCTTTTTTGTCAAAAATGCATGTATCTCGTCAAAACCACTACAGAATTTGATGTTAGGTTTACTCTGCAAGAGTTCGATCAGTCCCTGCCCAATAAATGGGTACAACTGAAAGAAATTTTCATGATGTGTAATAATTGACTGACTGTCTTTGTCTACTGTATTACATGGAATTTTCGATACAATATTAATGCGTGCATTTTTAAAAAATGTGTTAAAAGCGCATGCTACCTCTTGGGTATCTGTAATTATACTATCGTCATCACACATTAAACAAGTATTAGCATTGTTATTAGCACGTTTTGAAAAATCATTAACAATTTTCCACGTGATTTTATTGGGATTATCAGACGAAGTAATGATTTTCTGGTAATAATCTTGTCTTGTTTTGGTCAAAAGCTTTCTATGTTTTTCCTTTATTGTTGATTTAAATCTCTAATAATTGGTACTGCCCTTAATAATGCATGTAAATTTCTTAGTTCAAAACTCGACTTTCGCACTTCACTATTACTCCATTTATTTTTAGTTGTTTTGATTTTTTTCCTTGTTGATGGAAACCTATTATTAACATGATACCATAAGATATTTTTAAAAGCTTGAAATGCTAGATTAGCGTCTAGGATTCCATAAACACTATTCCAGTTTTCGTTAATGAGGTTAACGATAAAGTAATTTATCGAGTCCTCACCAAATTGTCTTTTTTGTATAAAGTTTGACAATTCCGTTTTAAAGTCAAGTTCCACCAAAACTATTCTATGATCTCATACAGTGTTGTAGTACACCTGACAAACCGGAGTTCGAGAAATTTACTAATACTTTGAATGTGTCTGATACAAGATGCTGTCGAACAGGCAGCTAAACTGCAATGGAAATGGGCTGGACATAACACACGTCTTACGGATGGCCGATGAAATAAAGAAATCGGAAATTGGCGGCCATACGAAGCCAAAAGACCACGAGGAAGAACGTAAATGAGACGGAGCGACGATATTAAAAGAACTGCAGAGCCAATGTGGAAACGTCCTACAAACAACAGAGATGAGTGGCGAGAATTAGGAGAGGCCTATATTCGGCAACCCGAATAGAGAAAAGGGTTTAAAAAAAAGTCTGTTGCTCTATTTAATGGTAGTTGAAAATCAAGATACCTGAAAAATGACAAAGTACAAACATACACCATACACAATAAACAATAAACCATACGAGATATGGCAAACAAATCAATGGGTTTCTATTACTTAAACTTACTTCCATTGCTAACGCAGCACTCTCCTTTTAGGTCAGTAAATCAACGTGAAATACGACGATACCGTGTAGTTTACCGTGTAACCACCGATTGCATGAAATTTTGGATTTAGGCTCTACTTATCCTCCACTTCACTTTTGAAATTGTGCTGTTGGTTGATTTTTTATGAGTGAAAACTACATCTTCTTCTTCTTCTTTCTACTTTATTAATAGGCTTAATGCCTGTTTTACTTCGGTTTTTAGCCTCAATTGGGGGTTGTCCCAATGATCTTCTTCCATTTGGCAATTTGTCTCTGGCTATTCGTACTATTCTATTTTCTGTCATTCTTTCGATGGGTTTGGATCCATACCACTTTTCTTCTTTTGGGCCACTCGTTTATTTCCTCTATACCACATCTCGCTCGTATTTCCTCACTTCTTACTCTGTCTCTTAGAGTTTGGTTTGTTATTTTTCGTAAGACTTTCATTTCTGTTGTTTCCAGCAGTCTTTGTGTTTTCGCTGTATTCTGCTGTGTACGGCATTATCGGTCTTATTGTTGATTTATATATCCTGGTTTTCGTTTCCGTTGTGAGGTATTTGTTTCTCCAGATTCTGTTGTTGGGACATCCTGCTGCTTTGTTTGCCATATTCACTTGTTTTTGTACTTCTTCTTCCACTTTTCCGTAGCTTGAGAGTTTTATTCCCAAGTATTCAGTTTCCATCATGTGTTCTATTATTTTGTTATTTACTACCAGTTTACATTGTCTTGGTTCCGCTGATATCACTATCGCTTTAGTTTTCTCTGTTGAGATCACCATGTTGTATATGAGCGTCGTATCTTCGAATTCTTTAATTAATCTTTGTAGGTCATCTTGATTTGCGGCTGTTATTATGGCGTCGTTAGCGTAGCATATTATCCTTATTTCCTTTTCTCCCATTCTATATCCACTCCTTTTTTAACTTTCTTTATGAGTTCATCCATTATCAGATTAAATATTAATGGGCTCAGCGAATCTACTTGTGTAATGCCAGTTTCATATTTCATAGGTTGCGATAGTTTTCCTTTACATCTTACCATAGCTATGTTATCTTTATATATATTCTTAATGGTTTTTACTAAATCCAGTGATATTCTCTTTTCATATAATAAATGTATCGCGTCCCGAATTTTTACTCTATCGACCGCTTTCTTCAAATCTATCAGACACATATATGCTGGTTTGTTGTATTCCAGCGACTTTTCTTTCATTTGTCTTATAACAAAATCTGCATCCGTGAATGATCTTCCTGTCCGAAATCCTTGCAGTTCCTCTTGCAGAGACATTCGTTTGTTTATTGTTGTCGCTATTATTCTAGTTGCCAATTTGAGTGTTGTATTTAAAAGATTTATTGCTCGATAATTATTGGGGTGTTTCTTATCTCATTTTTTGAAGAACATCACCATGATCGCTCTCCTCCATTCATCTGGTATTCTGTTCGTGGTGATTATTTTATTAATAAGAAATTGCAGTTTTTGTACAAGGTAATCACCTCCATATTTTAAGAAAACTACCTCTATTAGAAAAATATCATATAATTGTAAATTAAACCGGCTAATTGATTCAAATCATATTCTAATGAAGTAAATGAAACTAGCGTCTAGCCGTTGGCAGGTCAGTATAATCCTGACCAATCCAATCGCACTTGATTTTGTGTGTAGCGCGTCATTCAAATTATGTACAGGTTTGAATGTAACAGTTCTCATATCACGAAACGTTCTCAGATTGTTCACACAAATAAGGAGTTATGTTTAATTGTTTTGAATACACAGAAACTCATAAAAATGTTGTAGACACTTCAACGGAAGATAGCAAAATCAAGAAAGATTCTAAGAAGTGTCCTTTGTATAATTTTTATTCAAGTTATGTTGCAGAATTGCATTCTCATTTTCAAGAAGAACACAACCTAATCCTAGAAAGTGAAACACTTCAATTTTTTCAATTTAGTCTCTTTTCAGGAGTGGAAATGTTTTATTGAAAGTAGTACAAAACCAAACACGTTAGACCGCAAAGACTCACAAAACAATGAAGTTTCTCTGTCATCGGCCAGGCTGCTTTAATTCTGAAAGCAAAGGAAAAAGGCACTTAAAAATGAAAGGCAGTATAAAAATTGGTGGATTTTGCCCAGCAGTCTCAAGGTTGTGGTTGATTTGGCAGAAAAAGTTTAAGTCAATTTTATAAAAACACACATTGGACATCAAACTGATATTGGACAGTTATTTCAAAGTCTATCTAAACGTCAGTTTATTGCTGATATTTGATTGTGGTAATTATTTTTATTATACAACAACATAACAAATAACAACAACTATGATCTAAAATAATAATAAGTGGCAAGCAGACAAGCCTTCCCTCACTTGTTGCCAAGTCACAATAAGATAGTATTTATAATATGTAAAATAATAAAACTGTGTATTTAAAACAACTAAACATTACTTCTTGTTTGAGTGAACAATCCGAGAACGTTTCGTGATATGAGAAATGAGAACTGTTACATTCAAATATGTACATAATTTAAATGATGCGCCACACACATACTCAAGTGCGATTGGATTGGTCAGGAATATCCTGACCTGCCAACGGCTAGACGCTACGCTGAATGAATGTTAATTATTATTAAACAACATAATTTAAGATTTTATCACAGTTTAACCCTCAAATCTCAACCTTTAGAATAGTTATAATTAAAACCATGTCATTGAATACCTTGTCTCGACTGATTTGCATTTAAATTTGGATGTAGGGATTAGGGGTTAAAACTAACCCTATTAGAACAAAAAATCATATAATTGTAAATTCAAAAATTTAAGCAATTTGAAATTATTTAATTATAGAATTACATTTAGATTTCTTTGCAATTTTAATTTTTCAACACCTAATTTCACCTCTTTTATATATTCTATTAGAACTGTATAGTGCGGTACCCAAACATTTTTTTTCTGTGATTTTTGAGTAACTTTCCTTTTCTTTGTCAGGTTTTCTCTGTTCTTTGTGGCCCAAAAGATCATTCTTGTAAGGTGACTCAGTGATTATAGCAGTTTTTCCTTTTCTCTTGATTAACGTGACACGTCTTGTTACTCAAGTTTCTTTTGGTATGGGCATGATATCGTTCAAAAATGCTACGAACGAAGATGATTGTGTTTCGCTATTAGTCACCCACGAACAATCAGGTCTTTTATCGTTACTTTTAGTAATTTTTTTAAGCGTTTTTTTTTTAGTGTTTGTACTTCTTTTGCATTTATTTCGCAATTTCGGTAACATACTCAGACTCCATTTCTAACTCTGACCAATTTGTTGCATTGGTTAAGGCTGAGGAGTCTCTTCCAGTTGGGGGTGATAGGGCTGTGCATATACTGACAAATCCGGCTGATAATCATTCGTTTCAGCTGGAGAAAAATCAGCTTCTGCAAAAATGTTTCGATTTATCGGTAAGATTCTAGTACTTCTAAACAAATATGTAATTATAGCAATGGTCGTGCTAGCTACGTTTATAAAAGCTCGACCAAATAAACTTACAATCTGGAATTTGCTCACTATATCCCTAGGATGGCACCGCAGCCATTTCTTTACTTCGTTACAATAACACTTGCTACGGTACGTTGACGATACATTCGTCATTTGGCCCTAAGGCGAGGATTCTTTGATGTCTTTTGAAACCCATCTGCATTGTTTATATCCTAGTATCTTGTGTACAATGGAGGTGGAAACTGATGCATCCCTACTGTTTCTCGACGTTATTATAAAGAAAAACCAATCTCAAGATTTTCATCACTCTGTTATATCAAAAACTTATCCATACCAATTATTACTTGAATGTCAACTTTCATTATCCACCTTCACCAATGAATTCAGTCCCGCAAGTAGACCCCATGAGCTCTCTAATTTATAACAAGCCATCATACAAAACGGTTACCGCGAAAATCACATCAATGGGAGAATCCACAGACATCAATCTTCCACTCAGTCTCAACCCATAGACTCAGAACCTCATCATACGAAAGCTTTTTTTTTCTTACATCAAAGGTGTCACTGACAAAATCGACAAAATTCTTAAATCAAGAGAAAAAGACAATATTTACCCCCCAACAAAAGCTTTCTTCTCTTGTCCGATCAATGAACGACAACATTTCAAATGAAAACTGAGTTTATGAAATTCCCTGTGGAGACTACCCCCGATCTTACTTTAAACTATAAAGTGCTTATACAACTATTTTGTAGTTTTTTTGCAATTAAAAGCAAGACCATTTGATTAATTTTTACCCTTATTTTTAAAAGGTTTCTAGTCGAAAGGGCTTGAACAGGTCACTAATCACGGGTGTACACAAAATTTGAACAGCCATATCTTAACCAATTTTTATCCTACAGAAAAACAAAAGAACCAAAATGATCAGCAAAACCTATATTTTTTACTCTTCGAGATTTACTCTTCGACTCGTTCGAGATTGTATCACCAATATTTTTTAAGTTATTTTGCAAGTAAGCCTTTTTTGCTTTAAAACCGAATTTTAAGTAAAGTAAATTGTAGAGCTGTGAAGAAGAATATCATTTGGGATGCTAATTAGGGGGTGATTTTCACGATTTTTTTACAAAAAGTTACCAAACATATTTTAACCGTGATTCGCGTAGTTTTGATGCTTGAAATTATTTTAGTCAATACTCAAAAAGTATTGACTTGTGAAAAAATAGAAAAATGTTGCTTAGAATTAGTTAATTTATCCATTTTCGAACTTATTTTGAACGTTTCACCCCTGAGAAAGGTTGGTTTTCACCTCCATTGTTCTAGATTTTCTAAATAATAATTGTAATTTATCATGTATTTCTAGGGATGCGATTTATATCAGTGATGACGGAAGATTGCATATAATGGGAAGATTGAAGGAAATCATCAACAGAGGAGGCGAGAAAGTCAGTCCAGCAGAAGTTGAAGAAATTTTATCGACTCATGATAATATTCGGGAAGCCTGCGTAAGTTGAAACTAAAACTTTAATTTTTATTTGAATTATTAAATCACGAAGCACAAAATAACTGTGAAAATTATTGAAATTTTTTAGTTTACTCCCAAAATTTTTGACGGTGTTTAATAGAAAAAATTTTGACGTATCGTAATGTATTCTTCGCTTTTCTTTTTTATTTTGAAGCGCAGTAAGTGCTTCAGCCATTCCGTTGGTATTTTTCTAAAGTTGTATATGTTGTTGAGTATCTTTGTGATTGTTGCTATTCAACTTGGTCTATCATTTACTTCCTCTTCTAGCTCAAAGATGTCTTGAAGTATTTTCCCTAAATATTCGTTTCACGTCATTTTTTACTCTGTTTCTCCAAGATGATGTTTCCACTGGAATCAGTTACATTTTCTTTTCTGTCCCTCTCTTAGTCTAACTCTTAGTTGTTCAATTTTTCTTTGTACATTGTGATTATCTTACTCTAGCTAGTTCTTAGTGAAAATGTGTCCCATTTTCTTTCCATCTTTGTATTGCTTCTTTTTCTTTCGCTTTGCTGATTTTCCCTCTTATTGTTATATTTATCGCTTTATATCTGTCTGGGTTATATTTGTCATTTTGGTTCTTTCTTTCTTCAGCTTCAGGACCTCATCAGTCATCTAATCTATCAATATTTAAGTGTTTCTCCTTTACATTTTAAATTATTTTTGTAATCTGTTTGATCCAATGTTCTTCGTTCGGTTCGTATGTAATTAAATGTATTGAGATCGTTCAGCATACTTATATCGTATGGTTGTGGTTTCCTTTTCCACTCTTTTGAGTTTGACTCGGAATACTCTCACCAGTGGAACGTGGTTCGTCTCCAAGTCTGCTCCCGGATAAGTATTAAGAGATGTAAAGCTGTTTCGGAATTTTGTATTTACTCTTTGATTCCTAATGATTCTTATGCATCTATCTTAAGAGGATTTCTACGTGTACAGCTTTTGAGATGGTAGAATTTAATAGTAATTTGGAAGAATGTGTTAATGACAAGTAGTTCTGAGTTTTCTACAAATTTTACTAGGATATCCTCTCTCTTTTGTAACTCCCAAGTTCATGTACTACGATGTACTGCGTCTTATCTGCAGCTCAAAGCTTGGCATTTAAATCGTCCATAATGATAACTTTCTGTCGTGAAAATTTCTGCATGATTCTGTTAATGTTCTGATAGAACTTAATTTCTTCTTTTTCGCATTTGTTTGCGATAAGAACATAAACTTAGATAATGTTTATATTGATGGGATTGGCTTATACATGGAACACCAGTCTCTCTTTATTTCTCTCTCCCTCTCTCTCTATCTTGCTCTCTCTCTCTCTCTCTCTCTCTCTCTCTCTGTCTCTCTCTGACATTGGTTTAAAGTCAGTAACGCATTTGATAACCTTGGGTGATTCGATTACTCCGACTGCATATTTATGTGATCCATCACTTTGTCCCAAGTTGTGTACCTAGTGATCTTTCACTTGCGTTTCTACTGAATATGGCCATTTCATTTCTGCCATTGATTTTAATATGCATTCTCTTCATCTTTTGTATTGCAATGTGGATTTTTCCTGCTTTGTATAAGATCTTTATACTTTTTCTGCACTTTAATTTATTAAACTGACCTCCCAAGAGATCCGATCAAATGACATATCCGGGCGTATCGCTTATGACGTTGACCAAATCTTTGAATCATCCGCCTTCTGGGCCGATTTCTTAGCCCCTGGGCAAAAGGGTATCCTATCACTTAACAACTCATTTACCTGAAACCTTTAGTCAATAATTAGGGTTTGTTTAGACGGGCAATCACTAGGTGAATAACTCACCACGCTGATAAAATTGATTTTCGCTTCGAGGAAAACATTTGAGAATGTGTGAGTAGAGGCGTAAGTTACAGTTTGTGCGTGTAGGGTACGCAGCATAGATATGCCACATATCTCTTCCGCCCAAATTAAACTCTCTCCTCTCATTCACAGTTAAAACATCTTCTCCGACATTCGGAATGTGGTTGAGATGGGTTCTATAATAGAATAGATCATTGGGCAAGGTTAAAATGGAATGTCGGGTAACGACAGCGGTCAGCTGCTTCAGTTAACTAGGAAATCCTGTTGGTATATTTAGCTTAAGTGGCCCAGATTTCACATAGGGTAATAATTTTGCTTTGTATATAGGGTGGTCCTTTAGTAATTATACAAAAATTGTAAAGTAATTCACGTAGATTCTACACCTTAAAATATGACGATTTAAGCCAAATTGCTTTAATAAAATGTTGATACTAAGATAGACACAGGGTGTTAAAGTGGAAATTTAAAATTTTAATTTTCGCTATAACTTTTATGTTTATAAACATGTATGTATCAACATGTATAACTGGGTATTATTGAACATTAGAAATTATAATTTAATGCGAAATTTAATGTAGCTGATAGAGGGCGCCACTATTCCACATATGTGGCATGCATTTGCACTTAACTTTTTTGCTCTTTAAGTTACCGATGTTTGTGATAAAAAATATTAAAAATACATTATTTTAACTAAAAAACGGTATACTTATTAATAACTCAACAATCTTCGAGATAATCGCGTTTTACAAATCAACTACATAATTTAGATTTAACGCAATTACTTCAGGCAACAAAAGAAAATTAGACAAAAACATCAGTGGTTATGAATTTTGATACACAAATATTCACAAACATAAGTTATAGTGAAAATTAAAATTTTAAATTTCCACTTTACCCTGTATCTTTCTTCATATTAATATTTTATTAAAGCAATTTGGTTTAAATCGTAATATTTTCTTCTTATGGTGCCTATCCGTTACGGATGTTGGACACTAACATGGCTGTTCTGACTTTGTTGACTGCTGCCCTGAAAAGTCCGGTAGTGGTTAAGTTAAATAACTTTCGCAGGTTATGCAGCTAGGATATTCTTCTCCGCTCTGGACTTCTTTTCCCATGCACTTTACCTTGAAGTATGGTCCGAAGTAGGTCGTATCGTTGTTTATTACGCATTATATGGCCCAGGTATTCTAGTTTGCGACGTTTTATGGTTACGACTAGTTCGCGCTCTTTACCCATTCTATGTAGTACTTCTTCGTTGGTAACTCTGTCTATCGAGGAAATCCTCAATATGCGCCTATAGCACCACATCTCAAATGCTTCGAGTCGCTTCAGTGATGCTTCAGTTAAGGTCCATGACTCCACGCCATATAAAAGAACGGAAAATACGTAGCATTTTAGTAAACGAACTTTCATTTCCAATTTTATATTTATGTCGTAGCTGTTAAAGATTTTTTTCATTTTAACGAAAGCCGATCTTGCCTTCTCGATCCTTATCTTAATTTCCGTCGATTGGTCCCACTGTTCATTTAAGTTTGCACCCAGATAACAAAAGTTGGTGATTTATGTTATAGGTTGTTGGTTAACTAGTAATTGACCAGCTGGTATCCTATTTTTGCTTATAACCGTGTATTTAGTTTTTTTGATGTTAAAATCAAGCCCAAACCTGCTACTTACTTCTGCCACCCTGGAGACAAATGTCTGCAGACCTTCAAGACTGTCTGCAAAAATGACAGTATCATCAGCGTATCATATGTTGTTCAATCGTTCTTCGTTTAAAAGTATTCCCTCGTCCCTATGTTCGTAAGCGCTAGGTTCATAATGTGCTCTGAGTATGTATTGAACAACAATGGGGACAGTATACATCCCTGTCGTACACCTCTTTTTATCTTTATATCGCCTGTTAACTGATCCCCAACTATAACAGCTGCAGTTTGTTCGTAATAGATATTGTTTATTATACGGCGATCTCTGCTGTCTAGACCAATTGAATTTAATATTTTTATCAATTCGTCATGTTTTATTCTATCGAACGCTTTCTGGTAATCAACAAAACACAGATATATATCACAGTTCACGTAATATTTTAAAGTGTAAAATCTACGGATTCTTTTGTACAATTACTTAAGGACCACCCTGTATATTATAAAGTGTGTTGGGAGAGGTAGGTAATAACATGTTGTCTTTCATTTCGAGATATCGACACATTATATATGTTTTTAGTCTTCTTCTTCTCTTCTTCTACTTTTTGTAGATCTTTCGATCTGTTTAATTCTGAAGCTGCCTCTGGTTAATTTCTTGGGAGGTAGATTGCCAACTATCCCTCCATCTTTTAGGTGGTCTTCCGGGGGGTCTTGAACCGGGCGGATTGTTTTCTAGGGCAATTTTTGGGAGTCTATTCTCATCCATTCGTCTTACATGGTTGTACCACATCCTCTTGCGCTGCCTTCCCCATCTTACAATATCATGAATTTTGCACTGCTCTCTAATGTTTGTATTTCTCACTCTGTCTCTTCTTGTTTTCCCCATTATTGTTCTTAGGGTTTTCATTTCGGCAACTCTTAGCATCTGTTTCGTTTTGTTGGTATCTTCGCGCACTTCTATGCCATATGTCATGATCGGTCGTATGCAAGTCTTATAGATTCTAATTTTACTATCTGTGCGCATATACGGATTTGACCAGACTATCTCCCGCAGACATCCTGACAGTGCAGATGCTTTGTTGATCTGACTCCTCAGGTCCTTTACTGGGTCGTGGGTGCTTGATATATCTATGCCCAGATATCTAAATTGCATCACCTGTTCTATGGGGTTGTCCTCAACCACTAACTTACATCTGATCGGATCTTTTGCTATTGTCATACATTTAGTTTTGTTGGTAGAGATTTTCATATTCAGTAGTCGGCTTGTTTGAAAGAACTGAAAGAGCTGCCTTTGGAGATCATCTTCTGATTCGGCAATAATTGCTGCATCGTCTGCGTAACACACCATACCAATTCTTTTGTTGCCCATTCTATATCCGAGATTAAGAGATGTTACTTTCTTGATAATTTTGCCCATGAGAAAATTAAACAAGAAGGGGCTTAAACTGTCGCCTTGTCTAATTCCTCCCGGTGTTGGAATATTTTCAGTGAATTCGTCTCCTGCTCTAACTTTGGTTACGTTGTTGTTATTTAGGTTATGGAGTATCTTTGTTATACTGGTCGGTGTTTCATTTTCTATTAATATATTTAGAATGTCTCCCACGCGAACTCTGTCAAATGCCTTCGTCAAATCAATGAAGCAAATATACGCTGGCATGCCGAACTCTATAGCTTTTTCTTTTATTTGTTTTATTATAAATACTGCGTCTGTTATAGACCGCCCTTTTGTAAAACCTTGTTGTTCTTTAGCATTAGTGATTTGCTTTTCCAATTTGTCCTTGAGAATACCCGTGAAAAGTTTCAGTGTTGTATTTAAGAGGGTTATTCCTCTATAGTTTTGCGGGCAGGTTTTTTGTCCTTTTTTAAATATGGGGATTGTGATACTATTATGCCATTCCTCTGGTGTTTCTGTTTTGTTTAATATTTTGTTAAATAGTGGTGCCAGTTTACTTGCAAGTTCCGGGCCTTCATATTTTAAAAGTTCATTGGGTATACCATCCATTCCCGGTAATTTTCTGTTTTTCAGCTTTTTGATCTTTGCTTCTACTTCTTCGTCATTGATTGTAGCACTCACATCTGTTTCTCCTTCGTTTATATTCAGCGTTTCTTCAGCATCATATAGCTCTTTAAAATGCTGTTGCCATGCCTCTATAGGTACTCCTTTAGTCTGCACGAACTCGTTAACTGGTTTTTTCCTGTTGCGGAGCATTTTCCATATTTTCTTTTGGGCACCATATAGGTCGTAGTCTATGTCGCAAGTGAATTTGGCCCAATGTTCTCTTTTGATTGATTTTATTCTGGCGTTCACTTCGTTTCTTATTTGGACATATTCTGCATGAGCTTCTTCCGATTGCGTGCTTTTATATCTCAGGTAGCATTTGCGTTTTAATTCAGAGAGTTCTTTTACATCTTGGCAAAACCACGGTTTGTCGCTCTCGTGTTAATTTTCCGCTTTCCAATCGCTTCTTCTGCTGCTTCGTTGATGCATTTCTTAATTTTTTGCCAAGTATCTTCTACTCCCCATTCGGGTTTTAAGTCGATCTCTTTTAGTTTGCTGGTAATCCTGTTCTCATAAAGCAGTTTTGTACTCTCTGTTGTTAGCGACTCTATATTATGTTTTTCGATGAACATTGGGGGTTTTCTGTTTCGTTGCGGACGTTCTAGTAGCATCTTGCATAAAACAAGGTTATGATCAGTCCCCAGGTTAGCAGATGTTAGTGCTCTGACATCAAGTACTTGTGACGGAGTTATCGCTCGATTTGTGATTATAAAATCTATCATTAATCGCTGGCCTCGATTATTGTTAAAAGTGTATTTATGTTGGTCTTTATGAGGAAAGTATGTATTGTTGATTCTCATTTCATTTCTAGTGCAAAAGTCTATTAGTGCTTCGCCGTTTTCATTAATTATTTCTTCGTTGCTACAGCTTTCCCGCTGTATATGAGTATAAATTTTGATGTAATGTATTTTGATGTTCCTTGGCCTTTTTTCTTTGTTTCGGAGATTCCGCAGATGTCAATATTGTGTTTCTTCATTTCTATTATGATCTCCTGGTATCTTCCGTTCCACGACGTAATGTTCCAGCACGCGATTCGTGTGATGGGGTCTTTAGGTTTTCGTTTACCAATTCGTTTTTCCATTGTCATAGCGTGTGTCGTCATCTGATATTTCCGTCCGGTATCCGAGGCTGAATCTTTAGTTCTGTGAGCCAATATGGGTTTCTTTACCCCAGGTAGGTGGCTAGCCTATGTTTTTAGTACTTGTATTTATCTTAGTGTCTCGAAGTATCTTTTAAAATTTGACTATTATTACTGTGTCTTAACCTTTTATAGGCCAAAAGAACTTTTAATTTTCTTTGAATACAATGTTTCAGTTAAAATATTTAATTAAAACTCCAGATGTTTTAAAATCTAAAACGTACTACTAGTCCCTGTCACTTTTTTTTTTGTTATAGGTCGTTGGAACAAAATCTGAGAGATTAGGAGAAGAAGTATGCGCCTGCATTATTTTAGAAGATGATGAAATAGATCTCACCTTGGCAGATGTCAGAAATTTCTGCTCAGGTCAACTCTCCTACTATAAGATCCCTTCCAGAATTGAAATCATGACCCATTTTCCAAAAACACCAATGGGAAAGGTGAAAAGGGCAATGTTAGTCGAAAGAATTCACCAACTGAAAAAAAATTAACTGATTTGAAATTAAATTTTTAGTATTTAACTGGTAATTTTAACTTGTAACTTGAATATTGTAACTTGTAATGTGTTTAAATTGTATTTGTAATGTTTAACTTTTAGTTTTAATATGCGATTTGTATTTGTGAAATGTTTTTAAATTTAATTTTGTACCAGTTTTTATTGAATAAAGAAAGATGCACAATATGTTCTACTATTACGTCTCTAAAGCCTCAGTGCTGCGTAATCATTTGATATCTTGCTCAACAATGGATGTACAATATGAATCTAACGAGAGTTTCCAGCGCCCATAAAATAACAGGACATCTCAGTGATGACGACACGCCGGAAAGAGGATAACGAATTGAAAAAAATTAACATAATTCGAATTGAATTTTGGAATGTAAGATTATTAAACACGAAAGAATAAAAAAATTACCACGGAACCTCCATACAACAAAATAGATGAATATGCACTCGAAGAGACAAAGAATAAAGGAAAAAAATCAAATTCTACTACATAATTTTATACAGTACTATTGCAAAATAAACCAGAGCCAAACAATGATCTCTGATACAACATCTAAAACTCGTACAACGAGTACAAGAATTAAATTAGATGTCAAACCTTAAAATGTGATCGTAAGTTAAGTACCTGAGAACAAATTAGATGTCAATACACGAGAAAGCTATTATAGGCGGGGGTACTACAGCTTCTGCCACATCTAGATTGCCACCTCTTTTTCTTCAATCTTGATTGTCCGGTCTCTCTTTGTTGGCATAATTCTGACAAACGATGTAGTTGGTGTCGTTCCCTGTTTCTTCTCATTTAACGGTCAAAAGTATAGTTATCTTGTATTTATTCATTCAGTTGTCCTCTATTTTTTGCATAATTTCATTAATTGGAATGTGCTCTAATCTAGATATTGGACACGTCTACTTTTTCTTTGCCGTTTTCGTCATGTACTAAAATTCTGATCTGTTTATTAATATCTCATGAATGCTCTCTACATTGTGAGTTTTGTATTCGATTGGATCAAACTAAAGAATTCAGCTATTGGTTATTTCAGCCGTTCGCTTTAAGTCATCAGTCCATCTGGTTTGAGGTATGCCTCAACTATATTACTACCTACACATTTATGTGCTTCTCATTATTTTGTTTTAACTCAAACATCTTCGTTGTCTTCCCCTATTGGTAAGTATGTGTTTAGGTTTGATTCATTTTCATTTCTAACTATACGTATGCACATTTTTTAAGTTTCCTTAGCATCGACATTCTTCACAGCTTGCTAGTATTACTTACACATCAGCAAAAAATAATCTATCTCTAGCTCTTCCTAACTTTGATTTTTATATCTGAACGTTTCTTTCTGCATTTCCGTAATATAAAAATACCTTATTAAAAGCGGATGAGCAACACCCCTGTTTAAAGTCCCCTGTTTCTATAAGTTGTTCTGAGGTTTTGTACGGCTATGACCATTAAATATTTTACACCTTTACATAATATCTAGTACTTAGTCAATTTGTTAAATTTTTACCTCTTAAAGAAACTTTTTGGCATCAAAGCGATGTTAATTACCAGCGGAACCAGAATAGTTTGATTAAAACTAATAAATCAAATAAAACAAATCTATTTTAGAAAAGGTAACAAAACGAAGATTATTTTTTTTTATCAGAAAAAGATGTCGCATCCACCAAAAGATTATTAGCGACGGAACAAAATATAAAAAACAAAGTTAAACACCTACAGATTGTACAAAATGTTTATGGATCTAAGATAATTCACTATATTCTTACAGGAACAGTTTTGGCGTAGAGCCTGTAGTAGAGCGTTTGGGATCTTGTAGCGCTGTCTTTCTTGGTCATATTTACTAAAAATTGTTAAAAAATGTTCGACTGTTAATCGGATGTTACACTGATCACATATAGGGGGATTTTTCTTTGTGAAAAGGTAGGAGTACGTTAATCTGGTATGTCCTAGGTGTAAACGCGCAACCGCAATTTTTTCTCGTCTATTGAGCGACGATGGAAGCCACTGAGACACATTATTTTTGATTTTAGATTTTATTAGATTGGAATTAGCTTGAGATCACTCATTTTGCCACAAACACTACACTTTATTTTTAAAATAAGCTTGTAAGTCACTGGAAACACACTTGTCTATCGGCTTTGACAAATCAATTAAAATTGCCTCTCGTGCAGTCCTGTCAGCTTCTTCATTTCCTGTTATTCCGACGTGTGAGGGAACCCATAAAAATTGGACGCCTCTTCCATGTTCATAAGAAATAATAATATCTGGAGAATATTTAGATAAAGAAGCTATAGCATAAGGAGACGATGAAAAAACCCATCAATGTTCCATTGAAGTATCGAGTTAAATGTTGTTAACAGATTCGGAGTTAGATGATACAAAACAATTGTCTACAGAAGAGTCACTATCTAAGTCAGAAATCTCTTTCTCTAAATGGTTGTATAGTTTCTTTTGAAGTTTTGTAAACTTGCTTTTTGTAGATCTATCATTGGCATATTGATAGCTGCTTTGTAAAAGATGGAGTAAACCATCCATATCAGTTGTAAATTCTTTGACGACGCTAATAGTGTCGGAGGAGCCTTGGACATTCTCAATCAGTAAGGACAATTGGTGGTAATTTAAAACGAATGGTGGGGTATGATTATCAATGAAATTTTTAAGAGTTTCCCGTGTAGATGGGACTTTAGATGAGCGCGGTTTTTTTGGTTTAGAGGGTTTGGGTTTTGCAAACAGATTTTCTGATGAAATTACTGAGTCTGAAGGAGGCGTGACGATCTCACCAATACTGCGTTTTATGGAAGAACTTGCGATTTCGTAATTGCTATTAGAGTTTTCACTTAGATGCTGTGGATTTATTACATTTGGAAGTACTGAAGCACACTCATTGGTAGTGACAGAACTCGAGCTTGAAGTTTTATTTGTAAGATTGGTTGAAATGGTTGTTTCAGAAAAATGTCTTGATGTATCAGTATAATTAGAATTTTCTGCAGTTGTATCTAATGAAAAAGGAGCTAATAGATTGGAGGATATTGCTTCCGAAGTTTGTGAAAACGGTATTGCTACTGAATGAGGTTGATTGAAAGTGTTGTTATGAGTAGAAGCGTTAGTAGTTTCTTTGTCATGGAGATTTGTAGGTGTAGGTGATATGCTTGGATTTGATAATGGATAACTTGATGACTGCTGGGTGTTTGGTACCTTGTGTAGTATACTTGTTGAAGCTGTTTGATTTGGTACTTCATTGTTTGACTCAGTATGAGTTGATTCCGTTACTGAACTGTTATTGCCTTGGGATGATATGTGTCCTGTATTTTTGCAAATAAAGCAGGTAAGTGTACCTTGTGACAAAAATATGCGGTAAGGTGTTTGATCGAAATTTATTAGAATAGAATCTGGAATTGGTGATGTTATAGGACTTATATAAACTTGCCTCCGAAAGCTCAATATGTGACTATATTCGGGAAGAGTCGAGCTAATTTTCAGAAATGATATTGGGGAAAATAAGCTTTAAACCGATATTCTGTAATTCTTCAACTAATACTTGATGAAGAATTGACGGGCAGACTCCAGACAAGACCAGTCTTTCTGCTGGAGAGACAAGTCTTCGTGCTGTTATAACTTCGCCGAGTACTTCTATAGAGCCATGTTGTGTCATGAAGTTATCAACTACGGTTTTGTTTGCCAAATACATGCAGATTCTATTATGAGATAATCTAGATGAAAAAAATAATATTTTTTGGGTTGATGATTGTGCCCAAAGGAATGAGATAATCCTGCAATTTAGCAATATCGATGCAACTAAATACAATTGCTTGGGTCTTACTCGGAAAACAGTGTGAAGCGGTTGATACATAACTGTTTGTGATATTCGAACGTTGATTTACTGGACTGGTTAGATCGGAAGGTATGTTTACATTATGTGAAGTCATTTTAAGCTATGGCGGCGAAGGCCTTACTCCGACTCTGGTAAGTGAAGAACTAACAGCATGCTACTATAAGGTACTTATAACAGCTAACCTCACAAAATGATTGTACGGTAGTATATATTTATTATTGACGTTTTCTTTTCACACCAATAAAATAATAATTACGTATAGATAACTTACGTAGTAGTATTTAGTAGATAAACACTTTAATTTAAAAAAACGATTTAATAAAACAACTTGTTTTTATTAAAAACTAGGAGTACGATATCAGTACAACTTAACCATACCTTGCCAGGGCCGGTCTCTCACGAAAATTATTGAAAGAAAATTTTTAAATAAAATGGTTTATGTTCCTAATAACGAAAATAGTCTGGGTTAAAAATATCCATTTTATTTAAAAATTTTTTTGTATTAAATATTAATACAATTAACAGTAACAAAATTAACATTAAGTGGAAGCCCTATAATTGCCAATAGATAGCACCAACTTTCTTGTGTTATATTCAATAAGCTACTCCGATGCTTGCTCAATTGCTTCCCATAGTTAAATTCTATTCCGTGGCTTAAGGTTTCTATCATTTAATTTCTTTGTCAAATCTACCACACATTTTTGATATGATTAAAGCCTGGACTCCGGAAAAGCAACAGAAGAACATTAACATCAGCTTCTTCAAACCATTCTCCAATTATTCTACCCGTATGCACCAGGAAATAATTGACATGTTGGAAGACGAAGTTATTATTGGTGAATCTTTGGATCACTGATAGCAACAATATGTTCTCAAGAATATGTTTGTAATATAATCCTGTTAACTTCTTCCAAGATCTTAATCTACTGTTGTTCATTTCCACGACTGTGTTTTTGGGAGTTTTGCGGTAACCATATTAACTTCACAAGGAAACTAAGTTCCTGTAGCTGGCTGTATATCATGTATCACAAAAAATTAATCAAAATCCTTTAGAAAAGGTATATAATTTAAAAACTCAATCGGGCTATATAAAAACAACAAAACGTTATATTAACTTCATGCTCCCATCTCTTTTTTCTTCCAACAGGTCTTCTTGCTTGCATTCTTGTTTAGTAATTTTCTGAAAATTTTATTCTTGTACAACCACATATCCTGCTCTACAGTTGGTTATCTATATTGTTCGTATATTATTTTTATTATATCCAATTTGCCAGTTGTTATTTTTACTGATTGGGCCCACTATCCTCCATAATATATTTCTTTCTAACACGTTTAATGAATTGG